GTCACCTCACCACGTGTGCTCTCCCCACAGGGCTGGCGTTGTGACAACTGCCGCAGGCCCAGCGTGGAGGTGGCCCCCGAAGGTTCAGCTGGCCACACCTACCCCCAGTTCACACAGAGATACCACCAGGCCACGAACACCGTGAGTACACCTTCCTTCCCACCTCCCTTCCTGCGGGTCTGGGCCGCGGCGCTGGCAGATGGGCTCTGGGCAGGGTGTGAGGGGTGAGAGTAGCACGCAGCTTTGTGCCTGATGGAGAGCCGTGGCACAGCTGCCATCAGCAAAGCACCACTCTGCACAGTGCAGGATGCACGCTTGAGCTCACACTTTCACACTGGTGGGATTCATTCAGTGGCACTGGGAGGTGCCTGCATGCTCCGGCTGAGGCGTAGTGCACGTAGTGTTCCTAGATGTCACCTAATGCTGCAAGCCAGCTTTGTGCTGGGAACACCTCCCAGTCCAAACCACAACAGTGTCTGCCCTGATGGGACAAGGCTAACTGCTTTCCTTCCCTCCCGACAGAACGTCAACTGCCCCATTGAGTGTTTCATGCCCCTAGATGTACAGGCAGACACACAACATCCACGGGGAAAGTAACATCCAGCAAGACTTCTTGCGGCAATGGCAACAGACAAACCAAAGCATAAATACCTATCTGCCACGATTACCATCCAAACTGGAGTGATGCTAGCAAAACTGCATCTTTGAGAATGGCCCTTTGCTTCGGAGCCATTTTCCAAGCTTAAGCTCAACTCACAGCTTCTCCAAGCGCCACTCTTGGAGTGTTTCAGACTTTTCTCACGATTGGTAGCAATGGTCTTGTTCTTGCTCAAAGTGTTGAATGCCAGTCAGTATTTACAAATTTAAAGGGGGTAAAAAAAAAAAAAAAAGAGAGGGTGGTGGGGGGAGATACTAAATCACAAACTGGTGGGGGATCAGAACGTCAAGGGGGAGGGAGAGAGTTAGAAGTGAAAGGTTCCCATACTATGCAAACAACATTTGAGTCCAACATTCCCAACCTTTAGAGATAGGAAAGTCCACCAAACACTTCTGCTTTCACATAAGCGTGCAGCCAGCAATAAGATAGGAACAGCAAATCCAATCACTGTGATATTTAAAATATGCACAGTCCTGATTCTTTCTCCATGATCCTAGTATTTTTCTAGCTGTATCTTTGTATCTCATACTGTTATTTATCAGTTTTGTTCCCCTGACCTTCAAGTGTTTTTATATGGGAATAAAATGGATTGAAGACACTTAGTAGGCAGTTGACAAAGAGGAATTTGGTGTAATTATGATCAGTGATTATTTTTATACTGTAAGTGCCAAAGCTTTACTACTGTGGAAAAGAAAAAAACAACTCTTTTAATAAAAAGATTTACAAACCAGGCATGCAGTTGAAGCGCTTCTCTTTGCTGCCGTGGAATCTAGGAAGAAGACCAATATTCTGATCTGGAGTAACATTGCCTTGAAACAAGATGGAGCAAACACCTCAATGAAATGTAATGTATACCTCGAGAGAATACCTGTAGAGCAGCTTAAAGGCTTCCAGCTGCACCCCTGCCCCATAGGGTGAGAGCCCCGCTCACTATGCATGCCATGCTGCAGGATGCAGCGGCCAGCTTTGTGGGAACAGGTGGAGGAGAGAGAAAGCTGGGGAGGAAAGGAAATTAAGTGCTGCTTTGGGCATGAAGGGAGGCAAAAGAGAGGGTCCTCGCTCCAGCCAGATGCTTTCAAGACCTAAAATCAAAATAGCTGAAATCAAGTATGGTCTCAGTATTTGAGGTGCCAAAATGCGTGAGGCCATCCACATCTGTGAAGTTTGTTCTTGGCCACATCACTGCCCCTGGTGCACTTCTTCCCCTAGAAATGGGGAAAGACCACAACTCCCTGCTCTCTGCAATGGAGGATGACTTACCTGTGACTGTCTAAAGGGCTTCTTTGGGGGCTGTCACGTTGTTCTTTCACATCACAGCTATTCCACTGTGTGTGCAATGTGGTAAATAACAAAACTCCATACCAGTTTACATACCAGTGAGCGTGCTCTCAGGCACTGCTGTAAAGAAAGTCATAGAAATCCTTTTGTTACCTCTGCAGAATGCCTCAAAGCCAGACAGCACCTCGCTCTGTGCGGATCTCAAGTCTACCATGCTTAAACCTTGGGGTGAGGGCTACATAAAACTCCTTTTAAAGCACTTTATAAAAAAAAAAAAAACAACCAAAGCTGATCTTGATTACAATGAACGAAATGAGCACTAAGTCGCTTCAGCTTTTGCTGCCATCCCTGCAAAACCTTTGTACAGCCATTGCAATGCAGAACATTAAAGGCTCTTGCCATGATTCCTCGGCCACGTTCCTCACTTGGCTCCAGCGGCGCTGTATTGCTCAAGTCATGCATTTCTCTGGATTGAATAAAGCATAGCATGGAAATAGAATCTGGCTTCTTGACACGAGAAACACACGTGGCAGTTGTTTTCACAGATTGCTATCCATAGAGCAACCAAAACAATTGCAAATAGGAAGATGAACGCAGGAGAAATCAGTTCTATCCCAGCAATCAATTTTCAGGAGTTAAATGATTATCTAAAACACATGCAAAGTAGAAATAGCATAGACAGATGCAGAAGAACACTTCTATGTTAAACCAGACTTCTTTCAATTTGTCCTTCTCACGGGAGAGCTATATATTTTGGACCAGAGATGAGTTGCCAAATTCCCTGCTCACTGTGCCATGAAGAAATGCATTCCAGAGGCACACAGGAGCCATGCTGAAGTTGTAGCCCATTTGATTTCCTCACTGTAATGGCAAAACAGCACAAACAGAGTAAATATTACAGGATAAAATGCTTTAAAAAATGCATTTGCCCAACCCCTCTATAGAGGTTTGTACTTTGAAAAAGATGAGGGTTCACATTGCTAGTAGAATTTAACATTGGATAGCCACCAGCAGAGCACGGAGACAGCAGAAACTCACGAGATCCCAAACATCAGCCCTGCTTCTTTTATTCTCCAAAGGATCAGCCACAGAACAAACTGCAGATTTTGAAGGTTCTCATGCTTCAGCCAAGTCGTAGTGCATCAAGTGACTGGAGCACCCTGCACCTGCAAGGAGCCCCAGCAGGCAGGCTGAAGGGAAAGGTTGAGCCCCTGCTGCTCCCTCAGCTGAGAATGCTTCCTCCCTGCCCTCTGTTTGCTTCAATGCTTCTAGGAGCTGCTCTGGCTGCCAGCACGGACCTGCCAAGGGCAAGGTGCCATATGGCAGTGGTGTGAAGCAGAGCTGTCAGCAGCCTGCTCTTCAAACATCAAGTGCAGGGACCAGACCCATCTCCTGTGAGAACAGACGTGCTCTCTGCTGTGGGAAATGGATGCTAAGCAGGGCTGGGGAGGTAGCTTAGAATCACTATAGGTATTCATTCAACTAGCAGATGAGCACAGCTTATAAGGAATACATCAGAAGGGGAGCTGGCTAGATGCTTATTATCAGCCTCTATACTTTAGAAGATCAGGATAAAGAACAGGCTAATGGATTCTGAGGGACACTCGTGGCATGGTATGCACCGGCTGCAATCCAAACAGTGACAGAAAAGGCACATTAGAAGTGGAAGAGAAGTCTCAAACTCAACTTTTTAGAAGTACATACTAATAAAAACCACAAGGACTTCAACCACTGCTATTCCACAGGAAGCAATGGCATAGCAAGCAGTCACACTGGCTAGAGCTGGGGTTAGCACAGCCAGCAAGGGAGCTTTAGAACATCGAGTAATGCACTGTTTTCATCCTGGGCTACTGTCTTAATCTGGTACTCTCAAGCTTCTCAGTTTTGCTCAGTTCTGGATAAGAGAGGCAAGACTGCAGCTCAAGGAAGTGTCACACACTTTGAAGGCATCTCAGTAAACTCCAAAGGGTTTTTCTCTGCTAACCTTCACATTTCAGCCAAGACTCGTGTGTTGCTGTGATGGTGTATAGAGAAGACAAGGTAAGGCAAGGTAAGGCAGAGAACACAGGGTAAGGCACACACATACAGGTGTGCACACGCATGCAAATGCTGGACAAAGGTGGTCTTCCCCAATGGCAAAGGACAGCAATGAGAAGCCTTTGTCAAACAGTGCTTGTTCCTTGCATTGGAGCAGCACAGCCTGAGAATGAAACCCCAGGTCCTGTGTCTGACCACCCCACAGGCAGCTCTTACTGTCACAGAGTCACCACCTCAAGTAAATCAAAACCCATGCCCATAGCTGTGGCAAAGCAGCAGCAGAACCAGGAGCAGCAAGACGTGACCTTCCACTCTCCCAGGTCCCTCTTACCTGTGTGCCCCTATGTTGGCTTTAGCAAAGGGAACACATGTGGACATTCCCCCCCGTACCACTGGAGATCAAAGCCATGACAGATTGGTTTATTGCAACACTGTGGGTTGCTCCTTGCCAAAACTGAACAGATTTTATAAAATGGAACCAAAATATCCCTTTGAAATGGTCACTGATTGCCAGCAAAAACGTGCCTGAACTGTTACTTCACTCATCTTAACTGTGCTCCAGATTTTCACTGTTTTTCTAATCAGAGTTCAAATCTGTTTAATACAAACTGTGCAGAGTGGAGAATGGAAGCAGCTTCAGGCAAATTGCTTCCCACATGCCTGTATCTGAACCCTGAACTGAGCTCTGTGCCTGGGAACAAGCATGACAAACTTGCAGGAATGAGCTTCGCCACCTTTAAGACACCAACCTGATGCTGCCTCCAGCCAAAAGCTCATCTAGGACATAAAGGATCCACAATGGATCAAATGCACCTGGAAAAAAGTACGTGCTAATTCCATAGTAGTGGCTTAGACCAGTTTACAACCCAGACTTTTATCCATTTATTTAATAAGCTGGCCATAAGCCAAACTGACACCATTCCAACGGCCTTCTAATGAACTGGTGAAGTCAGTGCACAATGTATGCCTTAAGATTTACTTCAAAAATAAACCTCAGGACACAGTATTTGGATGACATAAGACAATCTTCATATAGCTGAGAACCATATGTTTATTTGTAAGAGACATGTAGAAATGTAGGAAAGACTCTTCTACGTTAGAGGTCAACCACCTGCACTATTATTCTCTGCTAGTGCAGGGAAAGGTCTTGTTTGCAGATCTTACAAATACCTGCTAAATAAAATACAGATTGCAGTTGCCTCCCAATCAAGCTGGTGATACTCCAGGTCACTGCTGCTGGTGAGACTGTGACCAATGGGGGCCACAACAGCCCACAGAAGCTCAGTGATGGAACAGCCGAAGGTTGGTGTGGATAAGAGTTATTCCCAGCTCATTGCAAGCTTCAATCACAACCTCGTCGGCAGCAGAGCCAGATGGGGCAGCGACGAACTGAACTCCACTCTGAACAAAGACAGAAACAAGCAGAGGGATTAGAGGACTGAAACTGTCCTGAAAAGGAGCTGGCAGCCTCACTTCTTCATTAACACCTCACTCCAAGCACTGAAAAAACAGCCTCCACTGCCCAAAGCAATTCAAAGAGGAGTTTCTCATGTGAGTGCTCAGCTCTTTCTGTAGCCCAGGAGTAAAATGGCTCCTCTGGAAGTAATAGGCTTTGTCTTGATCTTAAGCTTTTTTTTTTTTTTTTTCTTTTTAAATAAAATTTAATACCCTTTTCATCCTAAACCAATAACCCAACCAATGGCAAGATAATCACCATCCACATGAGGCCAGTAACCACACCACCACCCTGCCCAGGACACACAACTGCAGCCAGCACCCTTATTACAGAACAGAGGCATTCCCCAGAGCTGTGCACTGCACTCAAGCAGAAAGCCCAGCCATGATAAGACCTTACCCGTTTGGCTCTGTCAACATTATCCCTAAAAGGGAAGAACGCATCGGAGCTGAGGGAGACAGCAGTCAGCTTGGCAATCCACTGCTTCTTCTCAGCTTCTGTTAGCTGTGCGGGAACCTCTTCAAACATGGCCTGCCACTTCACCAGGTCCTCATCCTGGAGGAATGAGAAGTGCCAGCTCAGCCCCAAGGCACCAGCTGCAGTACCCAGAAGGGGCACATCAGGATGAGTGATGGTATCCCTCTAACCCAGTGCAGCTGTGCTTTCTGCTCCCACAGCTCTGCTGCTGACAACCTCACACCAGAAATTTTACAATCCCGAGTGATGGTGGGAATGCGCTGCCAATGTCAGCTCTTCCCGCATCCTTTAAACACCTCCTCCTCCCCTCTGCACCCCAAAACTCAAGGATCTCCTCCAAGATGCTCTGTTCAGCCTGCCTGCAGTGTGCTGCTCTGTGTCAGTGCCAGCACACACCACCTGGGTGCGGGGGATGACTTCATGAACGGCAAACAGCAGCTTGGTTTGTGATTCACCTTCTGAACAGCACTGAAGTTCTTATCCCCTTAAACCAGCAGCCACTCCAAGATGATTCATTCAGTCCCCAGTCCAGCTCTTGGCTTTCGATACTTAAAAAGGGCATGCTATTTTCTTGTCTCACTTTGTACTGAGGAGGTCAAAACGATTCCGGGAATCCAAAATGCCATAGAAGCAAACAGCAAAGCGCCAGAATGAACAGCCAGCAGGCACGATGGGACAGGGAGAACTTAAAAACTAGGGATTTAAGCATGACCTCAACACCGGGGGCAAACATCCAAGGACACCAAGCTGCACACCAACGTGCAGAGCAGGCTTCAGGACCTCAGGAGACCTCAGGACCTCGAGGATCATCTCAGGGAACCCTCTTACCTCTCCAATGGTGCCAGTGACGTACTGATCGATGGCGTTGGAGATCTCTGCTCTCTTCACTCCTGCTTTGAACTTCATGGAGAGCACACGCGGGTGGTGTCGCAGCCACCAGCTGTTGGCCTTGTCCCCAGCCAGGCGTGTGCAGTGGATGCGGGACTGCTGGCCTGCCCCGATGCCAATGACCTGAAGAGTGCACACAAAGCATCATCACACCCCACTTCAGAGCAATTAGCAAAGACCTCCCACAAATTAGTTGCTCCTTGCTGGATCTGAGAGGAAGCACAGGTAATTAGCAAGGAAAACTAGGAAAATAACTGCATCCCCAATCTCATCACCTGGATATAGGGACAGACAACCTTGAAGCCATGTGTCACAGCCCAACACACAGTGCAAACAAGCCCTGGCATCCTATCTAGGTGAGTGCAAGCTTGCACTGGAGACAAAGCCAACTCTTAGAGTGCTGACACTACTGAAAATTAAATGCTGCTGGGGACGTCTTGGTTACTGGACGCTGGCAGTACAACACCAGCTTCACTCTCCTCAGGAATCAGGGAAACTCAGTACTGTCAGGGTCAGCATATTATGCTTTCATACCTCATTACATTCAAGTCTGGAGCCAGACCAGGCAATGCTGTGCATCTGTGGCTAGCTCTCATGCTCCCCTTCAGCCAAGATGAAACGATCAGTGCGTAAACACAGCTACTGAGCTGGGGGTCTGCCTGCTGCTCCTCAGCCCTCTGCCACAAAAGCATGCCAGGCAAATACACCATCTAGTCGCACTGTGATGTCAAACCTCAGGCTGGTAGTTTTCCTCCACGGATTTCAGAGGTTCTGCTTTCCAAAAAGAGCTCCTGCCATTTTATACCAGAGATCTGTCAGAAAGCAAGACTCTCTTCCATAATTTCCTGCCCCTATGAAGCCAAAGCTGAACTGTTCACCAGACTGCTCGCATGGGGTATCACTCCAGGGATGCTGTGTTGAAGCCAGCACTTCTGGCCACCGCCTCAGAGTTTCCAGCTCAGGCTGCAGCAGATGGTAAAGCTATAAGTCAAGCACTGCCCTCAAAGGAATGAATCATTTGTCTTTAATTAATCAAGACACAGTGACTTCACCTCTTACCAGAACCATAAAAACATGCTGCTGGATACCGTTCCCTCAAGGAACAAATGAAAGAGTTGGGCTGCTATCTAATATCATCTGCTCAGCTATAACTAAACAGTCATCAGCACTTAGTAAATTCATAAGGATATTAAATAGATTCCATGCTCCTCACAGCTTAAGGACATGTTCCCCCCCCAGCAAACACTCCTTGATGTCTAACCTAAGCTTCTCACACCCCATCTGTTCGACCTTCAAACTTGCATGGGATTTTGCATCTCAAGGGAGTTCAGTGCTAGCTGCACATAGCTACATGGCCTCATCAGTGGAAGCTCTTCTTCCCTACACATCCAAGAGGGATTACAGTCATCACACAGCACACACTTTAATTCACCCAGCCTTTAAGTGTGGACTTAGCAAGGCAGGTCAGGCTAGCACAGAAGTTCATAGCTGGGGTTGCAGACCAAGGAGAGTCCCAGATAGTATTTCAGCAAAATAATGTGTCCTGCAAGTTATACACTTTGTCTCAAAGCAAAGCCAAACACGTCCCATAAGTGGAATATGTGCAAAAGCATGGAGTGGACGAGATGGGCAATGCCCAAAGAAACTCTGCAAAATGATGCAGGTTAGCCTGAATTTGGTCAGATTTACTGATTAACAAGTGAAAACAGAAGTCCTAAATATACCTGGAGTTATAAAATCAAATAAAAGGTTTCACAATTGAGAGGGCAATGTGGCACTGGTAGAAAACAGTACACTAAATTAACAGGTTTGGTTTATCCTATTCTGCAGAGAATAAAGAAAGAATAATTTTGAATTGCTAAAGTCAAATAGTATCACTGGAGAAAAGTGTAAGCCAGCATGTTGCAGACTTTGGCTCAGCTGCACTGAAAGTCAGACAAAACGAGTGGAAGTGTTTATTGCAATTAGTGGCAGTTGACTTCCTGCAAATTAAGTGACACTCAGGTCCATTAATGCTTCCTCCCACTCCAGCCTTCCCCAGGACTCATTAACACCAAGCCCCAGCTGGAGCAGTAGTGAAGCCAGGCTGTCAAAAAGGCTCTGGTTATCTGATGCATGGGAGTGTTGAAACAGAACAGAAACAGTGCAAAGCTGAAACAACCCCTGGAAAAACAAAAACAATGGAACTGAAAGAAAACTGGATTCCCCCCAGTGTGGCTCACAGAACCTAAATAAGTCACATCCTGGAAATGCATTGGAACAGGAAATTACTTCTTGTTCCCCATTCTTGATTCGTGCTATTTTCTTTTGCACCCAAATATTCCTGAGCACAGCTGATGTCACATCATAGTAGGAGACAGGATCAGTATTTAATTCTGCACAGCATCACCAAAAGGAACCTGAACTTACCAGCATCTTAAGACTGATTTTCTGTGGACATTATTTCCTGCCCATCTGAACCTTGGGAACAGTGGTCTCACTGCTGAACAGTCTCAAGAGGCTTTTTTGACATTTTAAACCTGAGAGACAGCAATCTGAACTCCTCCATCATCACCTGTAGCATGCTACACTGCTATTTCTGCATTTGGACTGTTGTAAGTCTCATTAGGAAGACATTAAGCTTTGATTTGAAGACCCAACACAGATCTGCCACTCTTGTTGAGTAAGCGATTGGAATGGCTGCTGACCTTTACAAGACAGAGAGCAGCATACAAACCTCTCATCTTTGCCTCTTTGTCTTTTGTGTCACATATACAGCAAACCAAGACAATGTACATTAATACTTGACTGAAATATATCCCTGCAAATACACAGAGCATCAGTGAAGCAAGGCTGGTTACACCCCTGCCTGCCCACACTGCCTTCCACTCCTCCCTCATGCCTTTTTCCTTCCATATGGTACACACATTACCACACACATTGTAGAAACATCTGGAGCAACATGGTAAGTCTAGATTTAGAAAAGCACTAGGGAAACTGCTGCTGTACTAAGGGAAAAAGAGCAAAGATAGTGTCACCTTTGTTCTGGGGCTATGAGAATTAATGCTCTTGAGGACAGAGATCCATTCAAGAGCAAGAAAAAAAAAACAGTAAGGAAAAGGAAAGAAAAATGCCAGCTCTCCAGAGAGGTATTTTCAAGAACCATACAGCACGTGACCCTAAAAAATACTGTGAGGCAGTGCTGCAATGTTTCCAGGCTGTAAAAACAATCTGACACATGTAGATGCAAGAAGAACAGCACTGCAGTTCATTCACAGTCTGTACCTGAAACATACCATTCGATCATTTGTTTGATGCATTTTGATAATTTATGATGACTGAGACCACCAGCATTCTTGGGCTTCTATTTCTGAATTATTATGATTTTTAAATAACCTGAGATATGGAAAAGTTGTCATGGAGAGCACAGAGCCAGCTAAACAAAAGCAATACAAGTATGAGCCTCTGGACCAAAAAAAACCCCTATTACTTTCAACACATTTACATCAACTTTTGGATCACTGATTTAAACTGAACAACTAGTGATGACTTAGGACTTTAAAATTCAAGATCAGGATCTCACCTATACATCTGATAATATCCCAGTGAATTCCAACATCCACTGTAAGCTCTTAAAAACCAAGAAGCACAGAAAATTTCTGATGTCCCCAGGGCATTAGAATGAAAATAAAATAAAATTACGACCCATTTGGACGGTCAGAATCCAGCTGTGAAAGCTACTGTCACTTCCTAAGGCTCTAACCAGACCACAGCATATGCACATGCCCTCACAAAACGATAAAAGGCAGGACAGTTACAAAGAAATGACTCAAAGCCTAACTCACAGAAGCACATAAGAGCTTTTCCAACCCTATCATTGAAAGACCCAGCCTTGTCATTATCATGAAAAAAATGTATTAGGTTTAGGTTTTGAAGCAACTTTAAGAGAAACATGTTTAGCTGTTGTTCTGTTCTAGGACAGTTCATCTATATTTCATAGAACCATGAATAGCCATAGAACAGAATGGCTGGGGTTGGAAAGAACCACAATGATGATTATCTAGTTTTAACCCCCTGCTATGTTCAGGGCCACCAACCACCAGACCAGACTGCCCACAGCCACATCCAGCCTGGAATATTTGTTTCATAGCTTCCTCTGTGCTAAATGATTTTAAACCCTGTGCCTGATCAAAGCACTCTGATCAGCTTGGCTTGGAAGCACAGTCCCCAGAGCAGTCTGGTTTGGTTACCTGCCCATCCTTGGCGTAGCACACTGAGTTGGACTGGGTGTATTTGACAGCAATGCTGGCAACGATCAGGTCTCGGACAGCAGACTCAGGCAGCTGAAACAAAATGCCATTGTCAATCTCACTGACTTAATCTTACCAGGTTCAGATTGTTCTATAGTGGCCCTCATCCTGTAAAGTCTTCTGTATTTGCTTCTTGTCCTCAGAAATGCTCACAGGCCAAAAGCTAAGCATATACTCAACTATGCACAGGACCATAATACTAACTCATGAAATCTGCATTAAATGTTGATTTAAGTACACTCCACTGCTAATTTATTAATATGATTTTTATTACCTCAAGGTCTGAGCTTGCTTCTGATCCTGTGACTAATAATGTACTCATTAACATCTGTTTTTTTAATGAGAACAGTGAGACACAGGAATAACTAATAGTTATCTGATGATGTGAAACCTAAGTGATGAGCAACATCAGGAAGGCCTGAGTTAATGTACTGTATATAAGAGGGAGAACAACAGAGTGAGTCAGAGTGACATCACAATGGACCCCTAGAACACACTGTCTCACCATAAGAAATGAAACAGTGACTTCTCATACATAAGAAATATAAATATTTTGGTAGTCTGAGATAAAGGACAGGGCCCAGCTTCTCTTATGTACACCAGGAATCAAAACAGAAGCAAACTGCACTGATTTGCCCAAGCACTTTTTGGCCAAAAAGCTTGCAGCATTGTTTTGTAGAAAGTTTCATGTCATTAAAATGACAGAGCTCTTAAAATAGAACAGGGCTGACTTCCTTGATGAAAGCACATCATTCAGCTCTACCAGTTTTTTAGCTCCTTTATTTTCTAAGACTTACAGTTTTATTCTTTGTAACAATGTTCTTGAACAAGGACCGGTCAATGACTGCATTGTTCCTCTTCTGCATGAGCTGCAATCCATAGAGGGTTCGAATCTCATTGTCATCTGGCTCATAATTAGGGTCCATCTAAAAGCCAACAGACAGGGCAATAAAACACTGAGCTCTTCAAAGCTCAAGTAACAGCTTAGGTTAGAACACTCTCAGAAGAATCCAGAAGAAGTGAACTGTTCAGAGAAAGCAGTGTTAGAACATCAGGAGGAGTTAGAATTAATTGGAGCACTAAGGTCTCAACAGCAGGAGGTGATAATGAAAGGGTGAAGAGGGGGAGAACAGTCTACATGCTTATATACAACCATCCATGTCGAAAGCCAAAAAATCTCCAGTCTTCCCATCTTACACAGAAAGGTAAAAGCATCCACACAAATATTTTGAGGAGGGTTCCTATACACCTTAATGTACAACTCCCAATGCCTTCAACACTGAACCAGTGAACATGATTATTTCCAGAGATGCACTTCCTTGGGGAACACCCACACAAGCTTGCAGCACAGTTAAGCAACACAAGTCAAGTGTATGGGGCCAAGTTAAATGGAACTGTTAAAATGCATTAAGGTCTACCCAAGCATAGGTGATTTAGAGTTCTGATAGCCCCTGTTCAGCTAATTGAGACATGAAGTAAACCAGATTAAGGCTACTAGCTCCAAATACAACCATGTACACGCTTTGTATGGTTTTGCTAATCCTCTGAAGTTACTTCAGATCAACTTTCCATAGTATCCCTGTTTGGGCCCTAAAGCTACAGACTTAACCAGTACAACCTCATCCTTGCAAAGCTAATTGAATTCAGGAGGTAATCAGCTGCCAAGATTGTCTGCAATTTCATTCCTACTTGCCTGAAGCTCTGCAGCCATCTTCTACAGTTCCCTTGGTAGCAACACTACAATTGCAACTTCAGCTAAGCCCTGGATTTTCTTTCTGTAATGTTAATGTTATGTGCTCGTTGGTCGTTCAGATTCAGGCAGAAGTAGGATGTGTTTGGCTTACACTGCAGGGAAGCCTGGTCTCCCTGATCCAGATAGCTGTGGGTGTTATCCAGACACTAACATCTGGTACAGGAAGAGTACTGCAGGGCTGCGGGCAGCAGGACTACAAACCTGAAGGACACAGTAAGCACCATTCTTCTTTTTGGAAAGGATTTTGAGAGCTTCTTCCTCATAGCCAGGAGCTACCACACCATCAGATACCTGCAACACAGAGATCTCAGCACCTGTGTCAAAAAGAGAGGGGCTAACATTGCAAACTCTCCCAGCCACATCCAGAAAGGCAAAGGTTTGCCTCTCAGAGGTCTCTAAGTACTATATAGTACCAAAGCCATTACTACAGCATCTGTTTCAGTCCTTGAAACAGGAAACAGCAGTGTTGTTCAGCCCATAGCAGGAGTTAGGAGGAAAAAAAAAAAAAAAAAAGCCTCACTTTATATCACTTTATACACAACAGAATTGATAAGTAATGTACTCTTCCAGGGGTAAAACTACCAATGTGTGACATCCTCACTTCTCAGCTCCAACATGCCTAAAAAATAATTATATATGTATTATAGTTATTTCAACAGTAATCCTCTTGATGACACAGAATGTCAACAAAACACTGCCTTAACAGTGTTGAAGATAAGAGTTTACATTAATCAGTGCCATGAAGCATGAAGATTAAATGTATTTCGTTCATATTCTCATCACCTAACAATGATGGTTTTTTTTGTTTTGTTGTTTTAATAGAGTACCAAATGTTGTCCTCACAAACACCATCTTTCATTTATTTGAAAAGAAATCTCCAATGCACAAGACAGCCTCTTGCACTGTGCTTTCTCCTCTCAAGAAAATCAGAAGCAACGCATTGCAGGATGAGTGTCCTGTAAAGCATCAGCTCCCAGCACCCCAGATACTGAATTATCCAAAAAGCCAATAAATTGTCTTGAGTTAAACAGGTCAAATCCAAACATGAATGGCTGCAACAAACCAATGACTCCATCCATTGTGATGCTCCCTTTTCCCTCAAATGATTTACTGCTGCTTAACGAACCTCTCTGGAAATAATCTTAGCAGTAGGCACATCACAGATATCAGACAAGGCAATGAAGTCACCAAAAGAAGACATCCGATCAGCACCTGCAAAATGACATTTTCTAGTCACTTATCCAACTATGGCAGAATATTTCCACCAATCATACAATGGTTTTCTGTGGACAATGACCAAAAGTGGTCCCTAAAGTAGTGAAAAATGAAGGACACGTGCTAGTGTATCCTTTAACTTTACCTAAATTCACTTTGTCTTCCATAATGTCAGGTTGGTTTGTTTGTTTGTTTTGCCACAGACAATGAGATAATTAGCAAAGTACCTCAGCTAGGCTGAGGAGGAAATTTTGATTTGTGTTTGTTTTTTTTGTAAGCTCTGAACTTCAAAAGTATAAAAAAAAAAAATCATCCACCAAATACTGGGTAGAAACATTCCTGTTCAAGTAAGTATTCCCCAGCATCCCATCTGCAGTAGAAGGCTGAATGTGCTTCCAGCCTAGCTCACTTGGAGAGCAATTTCTGATATGTGGGCAGTTAGTTCATTTAGTCAGTTGCTTATGGAGAAAAACCTAAAGAGGAGGAGTAGACTACAAAGGGGAGAGCCAGCAAAAAGCAAAATATGCTGTTCAGAGTAGAGCCTTACGCAGAACTCTTTGGACAGGTTAGTTTATTCCTGGGCCTCTCACCTCTGCTTCGAGCGTAGGCAGATGCCAAGGGTGTTAAGGTCTTGTGTAAATCATGTACCATGCAGACTTGTGCCTCCTCCTCGCTGAGAGGTATTCCAACAGCAGCACCTAGTGGGAAACACAAGCAGGGCACTCAAACCAGAATCCTTCCCTCGAGCCCTGCCCCTGGGGCCCTGTTAAGACACAGATACCACTGGCAGGGCCTGCCAGAAGTCAGTCTGTTCAAAGAGAAAAGTCTGGCAGCAAGGAGTCACTCTACCTGCAGGACTGACATGTTTGAAGGAGGCTGCAGCAGGGATCCCTAATGCCTGCTTGAGTTCCTTCACCAGCTGCCAGGCGTTGAGAGCATCACACAGGTTGATAAACCCTGGAGAGCCATTTACCACTGCAAGTGTAGAGTACAAAGAGATTAAAGCAGGCAAGGCCCTCTCCCTACAGTCTGCAAAGCAAGTAGAAGAGATTGTTTCCTCACCAGGAATGGGAATTGGTACAACACTGCTCTTTAAAAATTACCCAGGCTTCTCTGCAACAGGCTAACCACCCTGGAAAGCTTCAGTGGCTTTTGAGGAATGTATACGCTTAGGACTCAAAAGATGCAAATGTAATTCCCTTTCACAGCACACCCTTAGAGCAAGGCTTTGTCCCATTACATCTCCCCTTCTGTGAAAGAAAGGGAAGGAAAAAAAGGATATTCCCCCTCGTGTTTTTGAGTTCTTCAGCTGGCAGCAATTTGGAGCAGAGCCGTATCTTTCTGAGGGAGCCAAACAGAGCAGGATTTTGACAGAGATGTATAGGGACTGCTGTCAGGGAGGAACACAGAAAACACAGCCCTTGCTCCATAACAGACAGATTTTTTACAAGTCTAGTAAATTTGGGTGGCCGTGACTCAACGAAGTACTCAGGCAGTAGCCAAACTAAATACATGGCATCTCCAATTATTGTCAAATGAACCATTCACAGCCACAGAGCTTGGAGTAAGCTTTTAACAAAGTGCTTGATCAGGCACAGATTTCTGACGAAAGAACCAAGAGTAAAAGTCCTTTGAAAGTTTGCTCCCAAAACCTTTTGCCCCAACACACATAAAACTGCAAGATCAGCACTGACAAAGCAAGACTGGGATCATTTCAGAAGCTTAAACAACTCTTCTCTCTTGAAATGTAATAATACGAAGCCAGACAGGTGAACACAATATTGTTCTGCTGCTAAACCTAGGAGGCAGACTTGAAAGCAAATCAGCTTCCAGTGCAGGAGTAGAAAAGCCTCCTAGAAGATACAAGGCAGAGCTTCTTTTCACCAGCACTAAAAATGATCTTAAGAAAGAAAGTCTGGCTTTTGTTCTCTCCAAACTATAGAGATTCCCCTATGGCAGTAAGGCTATGGAGGGTGTGCACCTGGTAAAAAGGAGAAGACAGACACCAGACGTGTCTCAGCTTCTGCAAGTGAAACTGGTATTCCCTAACACTGTCACCATTAGCAGCAACAGCACTCTGGAAAATTGAGGCAATAAACCCCTGCTCAAAACTGTCACAGAAAGAAAAGTAACAAAAATCATTCAAGCCTGGAGAAGAACAGCTTGATTTCTGGACAGCAACTGGTGACATGAAAAGACTGGGCATGTATTAAATACAGAAAATGAGCAGAAAAATATCTTGAAATGATGACAACTTTTTCTCTGCAAAATCTCAAGCTGATGTCAAACCAGACGCCCATTATGTAGATCTGCCTAAAGTGTCTTCAGTGTGGACACACCAACTTACACTAAGAGAGAATACGGAGCTACTGTTAAGTCTCATGGGGATAAGCAGTCAAGCTTTTCTGTCTCACATGGCTCAACCTTTCCATCACAAAGACAGTGCCCCTCAGTATAAAGTGGTTCAACATAAGACACTGCTGGGCATCCCTTGCATTAAGGTATGAGATGGTATCTCAGTTCTAAGGGGACTGGCAGACATGCCTGTTTGCCCACCCACCCTCTTTTATTGCTCTCCATTGCCATGGCCTCACCTGTCAGGGGAAGCTTAGGCCTCGTGGTGTAGAGCTGTGCAGGACTCTGATGAGGATTCATGCCGTACCTCAGGGGCAGTTGGGACACCCCCTTGCTGTACTCCTTCCTAAAGTAGTCAGAGATGGCTGCATCATACTGAGCAGTGTGGGTGAAAGCCTGGGGACAGAATAGGGGATGCTTGTCAGCTTACAAACATCAACTTACAAACGATTCGGTGTTTAACAAAATGAATAAATGAAAGATATTCTCTTTCTGCTGTGAGCAAACATGTCTCACCTTCAGTGCAAGGTGACGTCTGGTTTCTACAGAAGTGTCTTTGTCCTTTGATGCTGCCATCTCTTTAGCTACAGAAGAATAGTCTGCAGGATCACACACAACTGTCACACGAGCATGGTTCTTAGCAGCTGCCCGGAGCAAGGCAACTCCTCCTGCAGAAGAAGCATGGAGGAATGAGGCACTTCTCATCTAGACTCAGCATAACCACATGTGAGGCCAAGAAGGGACATGCACCAAGCAATCACTTGTGCCAGATGGATGCGCCCACCTCCCCAGGCTGTGTTGAGAAAAGGGGCCATACAGCATCTTGAAAATGCACAAGGCAGTCAGCTAGCATGATTCAAACCAGTGCTGAAAGTGCAAAAAATGGCACAGCTGCAGGGATGAGAAAGTAAATGAGTCCCATGCTGTGCAGAGCACTTGGGGAAAGAACACCTTCCAGCAGCACAGCCACATCCTGAAGAGGACAGCTATCTGCACATATTGCTTAAACACCATCCTCTGCAACGCTGGGCTGGGGAGGAGTCTACAGGAAGATTTATTTCTACTCTACCAAGCAACTGAGGTTCTCAAATCTCTCTGCAAATATTAATGAATACTGTGCAGGTCCTCTGTGTGAGATAAAATGCCATGCCTCCCCCTTAAATCTGACTCTGCACAGCGATTATAACACTTTAAATCATATAGGATACTAGGCTGTAGTAACAGAAAAGCAGAGGCTGGCATTGCTACATACAGAGCAAGTACTACTTCATAAAACATTTAATAGAGAGCTCTGCTGGGCATCGTTTGGACTAAACTACTGCAAGAAAATTCAATCCCAATCCAATCTCATGGCACAAAACTGTGGCTGCACTGTGCACAAGCTGCCGTGCAGAGATGCTGCAGTGAAGCAAAGGCAAGTCTTTGGGGGTTAATAACCAGCACGAAGAACAGAACTGCTGATAATATAGGCATCCGTGCTTCAAAACTCAGATCCCTAACTACCCTCCTGCACATGCAGACCCACTTCTTTCTCTGTAATGTCTTCCTGGTTCAGCCTCTTCCCTCTAAAACTGGTTTTTATTTTTATTACATTGCCAGAGGTTCTAAAAGAGATTTAATTGGCTCTCAGTAGGAAGCATGCTCTACATTCTCTTTCCTTGTAGGCCCCTTATGTTGAGCAGTGCACACCTCCCCCATTTACACAGCGTGGCCTGCCAGCCTGTTTCAACAGCCACTTGCTATTGCTTAAAACCAATGAGGTTTACCCAGCTATGCCTCTCAGTCTCCTTGTAGTCCTCGAGCTCTTCTCTTCCAGTGCCTGACACAGAGAAGTTCTCAGTAGCACATTTCCTTCTTGAATATTCTCACAACATACCAGCAGCCTGGCTTGGTTGTCATTAATTTATTGTCATATGCCAACTACCATGGATGTGATGTTTTGAGTGTTTGATGAGAATAATCCTGTTGCTGTCAAAATGTTCATAGATGACCTAGCAACTATTGCTAGGAGTAAGTAATCCATATGAGCTTAAGTGGCCAGCTCACATGGGGGCCACACACAAACATTTTAGGGTAGAGGATCAGGTTTCCTTATCCCCTCCCTTGAGCCACAGCACAGAAAACGTTCCTTTGACAATAACTTAGAAAAGGAGTAGAGCAAAAGCATTTTGTTCCTGCAAGAAAGCATCCTAAAGAGTTACAAACTCACTTCCTGTACTTCTACATCAAACAGATGTCTGATGATTCCTTACAAGTGTGCAAGGCCTCCAAACAAAAAGAAGAGGACTGAGATCACTTAAAGAACCATTAAGTCTGCCTGGAGAATAAGTTTATTCTTCCTTTAACTTACCAATGTCAATCTTTTCCACTGCTTCTGGTACAGTTACACCCGGAGAAGATACAGTCTTCACAAAGGGGTAGAGGTTACACACCACAACTCTGAGAATTAAGGGGAAATCAGGGTTACCCAGCAAGAAATTGAAAGGTCAAGCTTGACTTGATATGCACAAGGTATTATCAGTGTTTTTGTGGTGTGATCAATGTAAGATTCTATAGGCAAGGCTTCTTTCTCCAGAAGACTTAAGAATGGTGGTGTGTAGTCATGAAGCAGGAGGTGTCACAATGGTGAAACACCAGGGATGGTGGTGGCATAGGCACATACAAGTTAACTCTATGCATTATACAGTGTTACAGTGGTTAGTGCCACAGTTTACAGCTAGCTAAGGAAGAATTTCTTTAAATGCGTGGTCCTGTGTTTAAACATTTTGTCATTTTGGTGAACCATTTCAAAGAACTTCAGAGTGGGCTCTCAGCACTACTGAAAATAAGCATCATCCAACTTTCACGTAACAGTAAGCACTGCAAACAAAGCACAACCAATCTGATTTTCTTCAACTTTTCCAAGAGCAGAAGACAGCCTACATGCCATTTTCTGGCAATGACATTGTAATAATTTAAAAAAAAACAAAAAACAACAACATATGAAACTTGAAAGGTATTTAGTGCACAGCCTGCATCCTACAACACCACCCTATGTCTCTGAATTTCTACTATAAGATCCTTTTTTGCCTGTTCTGTTCCCAGTACTCTCTTCTTCCCTCCATTCATGCCCCTGACCTGTTGCAAACCATCAGCAATCTGTGGACTTTTGCTAATGCTTTTATCTGTGGAAATCAAGATAATATCAAGGTTTCCTACCATGATGCGGGTAGGTAAACTTAATGCAACCATACAAAGACCCCCCTGCTGAGGATCAGCTCCTTCTGCTTTACATAAGATGATCTAAATTATTACTTTGGATGCAAATGCATGACTTGATGTCACTGATGTAAAAACATGACTCCCCTGTAATTCAGCAGAGCCTGCTTTAAAACGCAGTGTATTCTGAACAGCTCCCACTGCAGAGTCATCTATGAGGACTCCTGTGGTTTTAAATTCCAGCTTTTCAAATTCAGCCTGGAAACCCATTCATCCTAGGCACAGGTCTTTTAAAATCATTTTTAAAAAGACAGAGATGGACTCTGGCCTAATCACCATAGGCAATCTATACCCCTCTGTCTTGGCTACATCTACAATTTACTATGTATGATTCAACCACTTATTTCTAAATCTAAGTAGTGACAAAAGTGGTTGCTCACAATCTCTAGGTTAGATGCTAAAATCAAGTAGTTAAAACAGTCCCAAGCTGCCCTGCATAAGAACAACAAGTAAATGCATTCTAACAAAAACAGAAAAAAAATAAAAAATCTTGTGCACGTGTTAGTGCATGAACTGTGTTACTTCATTTTCTGGCTCCAATTCCTTCTCAGGGTGGCCAAGTAAGTTTTTTGATTTACATCTGTTTTCTGTCTGCACAAACGATGCATGTTCTTGACCTGTTTTGCATATCTAGTCTTTACTCATGTTGAAACTCAGTAAACATTATGTAAATCTCAAAGGGTATGTTTACTAAGCAAGTATTGCCATCTGATCAAACACCCAGAGCCAAGCTGAGAGGAGCTGCACCAGCTCCAAAAGCACTGAATTCAACTTTGCAGTAACAGTAATAAGGCCCAACAAGTCTCAAAATTTACAGATAAAAATTCCATGGAAAACATGTTGTAACTTTGCTTAAATTATTTGTTCAGTGTAGAAAATCATACTTTTAAAAATATAACATCTCCCAAAAGGAAGTAGGAAGAAGACTGCAGTTCTTCTGGTGTGCAGATCCCCACTGCTCCCATCCACCAGCATTGACTGATCTCCAACATTCATTGCAGATTACTGATGAATTGCACCTCACCTTCCCCAAAATTTACCTTACAAGACTGAAATCTTGTTTGTTCATGTCAGCGTTATCTTCTGGAATATTGCGAGCCAAGATGCCTGGTTACAAAAACAGTACATGCTCATTAAAATAAAGGACTGACACCACAACAAACATGTTCTTAATTCAGCACTTCTCTTCAGACTGTGCTTCTCCCCAGATCCATAAGTTTTCTCACTCAAATTCAGATGGTCCTCAGCCTCTCTTCCATTTTCTTGGTTCTATGGCTGTTCAAATTCCATATTAACAATTTTTTTTCTCCCAATACAAAATTCTGGAAGATTCCAAGTGCTGAACAGCAACCTCAAAGCCATCCTTTATAAACATTCCCTTGGTAACATGGGAATGCTAAAGCTGACAAGGAGATTACGGAGAGGAAAAAGGCACCTGTCACTCATCAGCCAGCAATAAGCAAAGCCTATAAAACAACTGAAGCAAGAGGCTGTGCCTCTAGTGGAACAGCACAGGCAGCTGGTTGAGGTCTAGGAGCCAGGAAAGATCACAGCATGCAGAAATCACCCACTAAAGACTATGCTGTCATGTTCCTTATGCTGCACACCAGATTCACCCACAGGTTAAAAGCCAGTGGAGCTCTCTGCCTGTACAGGCCTGAAATTGCCTGAACAAAGAATTCACAAGTGCATTTGCAGAAGAGCCCCATTACTTCTAGCTCCAGGGATGAAAAGCTCTAATTGCAGAGATGCCAGCAAAGAAACAGACGAAGTAATTCAGCCACCACATGCTTCTTCTCCACCTTGTGCATCATACCTCTCCTTTTGCTGCTAGAGCAAATCTGTACTCATTTCTCAGTTCTTCCTCACGATCCTTAAAAAACCACATCCCTCAATCCCTTCTTTCCACCCTGACTGCCCACGGATCTCTCTTCCAGACTGAAAACACACCATCAGAAACGTACCAGCATGGACTGCAGGATGAAGGGTTTTCACACGTCCTCCTAACATCTCAGGGAACCCTGTCAGGTCCGAAACATCTCTGCTCAATGAGAAAAACACACAGCATCATCAGTGCCACAATGACTTCACCTCTCGGTTCTGTGTTTAATTACCCTTAGGGGACATTCTGATCTACTGGCAATGCTAAGAGGCATCGTTCAGGTGCAGAAAGGTGGCAGGAAGAGCTGTATCTCTTAGATTTATTCAGGGAGTGGAATGTTGCCATCTTTTGCGACGCCATCCCTTGGGGATACTCATTCCCGTTGGGAGGGGAAAGCGACCATCCTTTGCTTCGGGCTTCACTGATAACCAAGCGAGCAGGTGGGCAGTAAGTCTGAGCGTTGGACGGCAGAGGACGAGGCTCCGTGTGAGGAGCAGCAGTCGCACAGCGCGGCCGGAGCCGTACGCGTACCTGACGGGCAGCCCCGCATCCCTCAGAGCTGTGGCCGTTCCTCCCGAGGCGATGAGGCCCAGACCCAAAGCGTTCAGGCTCCTGGCGAACTCCACCAGGCCCGCTTTCTCCGAGACGCTGAGCAAAGCTGAAAGGCGAAAAGGCCACCATGGGGGAGATGAGACCCTTCAGAAGCTCCGCAACTCACAAACCCAGCCCTCAGCTCGCAAACGCCGCGCGGCCGCCATGTTGCGCGCGTCCCCCCCCCCCCATCCCGCCGCGCGTTACCGAGCTGCTGCCGGGCGGCCATGGCGCGCGTTGCGGGCGGGAGAGAGAAAGAGGAAGGAAAAGAACGATCGAAGGCGGCCCGAGGGGATTTGGGCTCTAGCAGCAGCACCACGTGGGACCTCCGCCCCAACCCGGGTCGAGAGGGCGGGGAGGAAGAGGCAGAGCTCGGGTTAAACGTTGCTGCTTAAAGCTTAAAGCGCGCTGCAGGGCTGCGCTGGGGTTGTGTGGGAGCTGTGCCCGCAGTGCTGGGCGTCCTCTCAGCAGCAGTTCTCAACGACGTGCCTCGTGTTGTTTTGTTTTGTTTTGTTTTTTTTAACACAATCGTGGAGTTATTCAGCTAGAATCGTGCCTTCAGACCCCAGCCCGTCCCCCAGTGCTGCATCATGAATCCCTCTAGAGATGGTGACCCACTGCTCCCTCATGAGCACCGCTCCTTCTAAGAAATTATTCCTAAAATTCAACCCGAAGCTCCCCTGGTACAACTTCAAGCCGTCGACTTTCATCCTAAGTTTTGATTTGGGACTTCCCAAGCGTGCATCTGTAGGGCTTTTATCTTCCCCAGGAGCCGTTCCCTGCACGCTGGCTGTGCGTTAGAAAAGAGGAAATAAATGCAAGTTTTCAGATCCTACAGAAAAGTGGGAAACGCACCCAGAAAAACCAGGCTGTTGTGATTTGTGGGTCTGTAGGCTTGGGCAGTATTGTCTGTGTAAGAAGGAGTCAAGCAAGACGTACAGAACACTAAATAAAGTTGGTATATGTATTACTCTGAGTAGCAGCTAGTGACAAGCAGTAATAAATTACTGCTCAGGAGCACGGCTGGGGCCAAATGAAAATATACTGCTAAGTGGTACATGAGCACCATCATTATGAAAATACATACCTTGGAGAGAACTGCTGTTGTACACGGAGTGCAGAGCGGTGCAGCCGAGGTGGGCATTGGGGATGATTAATGGGTGTGAAAATGAAAGATTTGACGGGGCTCTGCATATTTATCTGGGGTTGGAGAGCAATTGCATATTCTGGGGCAGCATCTGAGATGCTAAAGGACCACTGTGGATGCTGCTTGTAAAGCAGGGTGTTTGGAGATGCTGCAGATGCAAGCAGATGGCCATGCTGGCCTATGCACGAGAGGACAGAGCTGATACTGCTTTCAGACAAACAAAGAGGCATTATCAGCATAAATAGTGGCATTTGGGATTTTTTTTGCTTGTCCAGTGAGTTTGCTGCCCCTTGGATTGAGGTGAGGCTCCTGTTTGCTCAGGGGCTTGCGTGGAAGGGGGGGGAGGTTTGAGTTTACACCGTGTCCTCTTGGACTGTCCAGGGCTATCCTGGCTGTGTGCTCTTGTGTATGGATATAGATGTGACAGAAACATCCTGGTTTAAGGGTGGCCGCACCAAGAAAATAAATCATCTGCCTCCCCGAATGTTTAGTTTTGCTTTATAGAGCTTAACTAATTAACTGGGGTGGTTTTTCTTTGGTGATATTTACAGGATATTCAAATGTCTTGTGCTCTGCTCACATTCCTTTATTTATTCGATAGGAGTGATGTCTGACTGGAACTTTTCTGGTGTTACAAACTGGTGCAGAAGTTCACCTTGAACCAAGAACTCAGTAGCATTATACTGGAAATCATGGGAAGAGGTAAATACTACAATTATAGATACTAAATTAAGGTTATTTCTAAATTGTAGCAGGCCTACATCCAGGAGAGGAAATTCAGATTTAATTAGCAATGTGCTGTGCTGTGTTAGTGAAGAGATGTAAAAGGAGGGTGAGGTTGAACAGACATACAAAAGGGATGGTGTTCTTGGTTTTGCTGTTGTCAGAGCAATACTGTAGATTCCCTTCTCTTGAGACCATAGGGAGTAATAGCAGTGCTTTCCAGCTTGGCTGTGAGTCCCTGTTTAATCTCATTCTCTATTGTTACTTTTTTCACACCAAGAGGAATGTAGAAAAAACAGGTTAATCTGGCTGTGTGTTAATTTGTTAGGGTAGGAGGCCAACCTAGGTTTGTCCAGCTATCACTGCAGCTGCTTGGGGGCTGGCAGAAGAGTGGGTTTGACCTAGCAGTGAACCAGGAAAAACCCAATCCAGATGTAGGAAACAAAGCACAAGCCTCTGCAGCCCTGCCTCAATAAGGAAGGTGTCATCCATGGTGAGTGCTACAAAAGTGGCTTCAGCAAACATGCCTCACAGCCATGAGGCTGCTTTGATAAAAGCACATTACTGTGTGCATCGCTACCTGGACAAAAAGTCTTCAGCTTGGAAGTTATTCATCATACCACGTCTAGTTTCATAAATAAGCTTGATTCCCTGCTTTTATCTGTATGCCTCTCCATCCTCTGCTCATGTACAAGCAACCTCTTGCCTCTTTTATGTACTTTCTGTACTACCTTCATGCAGAAATTGCTCTGTCTTAGCATAGTCATATTTAAGAAGATGTAAGGCAGATGCATACATCTATAGCCAAACAGTTTTATTTACTGGCAGTTATTTAAATAGGAAATAGGGAAGTTGTGGAAATGCTGTCATGGCCTGAAGCAGTGATTGAGCACCTGGTGGGAAGACAGGGCCAACCCAGGGGAGCTCAGGTGCATGCAGTGCATCTCAGTGACTAGAAGGGATGGAGACAGGATCCACCCTTTCCCAGACCTTATTTAAGGACTGGCAATGGAAGCAATGGTATTCTGCTGGAGATCTCTGTGTGTCTGAGGCCTTCTGAGGGTAAGTAGCTTTTTTCCTTTGTTTCTTTGTCCATGGCTGTTGTGTTTGGGCAAACCCTCGCTTACTGTAGCTTAAGACCTTGCTACTCTGCTGTCGTTGCTCTGCTTTCTATTGCATTACAGAAGTGTAAGTGGGAAACATGTTACATCCAAAGCAGCTCTCCTACCATCTGCCTTGTTCTGGTACTTGGCATCTTCCTTCAGGATGCTTTTTGCCATATGCTGGACCTCAGTTTCTCTAGGTGCCTTATAGTCAGAGAGTATTAGTTTTGCAAGTATTTGTATATATCCCTACACTCAATATTATGAGGCTATGCATCACAGCATTGAGAACTCATAAAAGTGATTGTTTGAGCAGGCTTCAAATGCCTTGTCTCAAATATAATACAACAGGGATGGGAATGGAATGCATAATACAGATTGTTTTTCAATGGTTAGCACTGTATTTTTTTGCTGTTGTTTATCTACCTTTTTGCTTTAAGAGCTTGCAAGAACTGTAGGGTGAAGTCTTTTTGGGGTATTCCAGGAGAAAAAAAGCTTCTAAGCTCTTTAACCGTGATCAAAAGCTGCCTCATGCTGTCCAGGCCGTTTGCCACTAGTTATCAAACCTGTGAACTGACTTCAGCAGCTTAGCTGATGAATGGACTAGCTGGGAGTAACTGGAGAGACTCAAGAGCTCTCATTTTGTGTTGTTTTTTCAACCCTTGCACTGGCACAGGCTGCCTGGAGGAGCTGTTGTTGCCCCATCCCTGGCAGTACCCATGGCCAGGCTGGATGGAGCCCTGGGCAGTCCAATCTGGTGGGTAGCAACCAGCCCACAGCAGGGGCTGGAACTGAATGGGCTTTAAGGTCTCTTTCAAGCTGTGCTGTGAGTCTGTGAATCCTGAGCACCTTTTCTTTCCCTGTACTCTCATTTAAATCACCTCCCTGGGGTTGGCATCCTGTTTATTGGCTGTCTGTAAATCCATCATCACAGTCACATAAAGATGCAGAGATGATGCTAAGATTCAGAGACACCAGAGAGCTTCATGTGCACAATGGATTTTAAAGGTTATGTCTCCATTTCAAGCACCAGCATTAGTTGTTGGGTTTTCCCAAAGCTTTGCTATTACTTTCTAATGCTTTTTCTGCAAAAGAAACAATTTCCTTGTAATAGAACAAATTTTGCAGATTTCAGCCTGAGTTATTCTCATGACACCCTGGATTATGAATGAGACCCAAAGGTGCATAAACCAAACAACAATTTATTTTCTGAATGTTCCCATTCCTTTCCTCACAGTAGTTTGTTCCTATCCAAGCATAGAAATAATAATAATAATAAAAAAAAAAAGTAAGAAATAGTTTCTTCTGTTGGCAAATTGTTGTGTATTCTATTGTCTGGAACTCCTATGCAGTGAGACAATGAATCTCAGGGCATAAGACCCCGTGTCAGTGAGTGAGGAAGAAGCCTGTGATGTGTAAGCAAAGGGGCAAAGCAGTGTCTCGCAGAGAAGGTGAGTTGTCTACTGCAGGGCTGCTGCAGAGCTGTGCAGGGAGTGGGTTCCCACTAGGGTGCGCTAGGGCAGTTAAAATGGGGATGGTGTCCTTCTGGGATCAGGATGGAAGCAGTGAAGATGCCTGTAAGAAATGGCACCTTTGCTCTTAAGGCAGAGGATGTGATTAGTTTCACCATCTTTTGGTTACAGCTTTTCACCTGTGAAGCCAGCACTCAGTGTAGCTACCTGAGTGCACTGAGGTTTGGGCTGAAAGAGACCTTGTGGAAGAGCCCAGCCCATGCAATGACACAAGGAGAAGATGTGTTCATAAGCCTTTTATTTAACTTGTTTCTTCTCATAGTCCCCTTTTAGCTTATTGCTTTGGATAACAGAGGAAGGGGGAATCTGTAGAGCACTGTGCATGTCAGCAAGGATAGGAGTCCATCTCAAAGACTCATTCATGCCTCTTGTTGTCCTTTGTGCCTTTCAGAGCTGCCCCTAATATATTTCCCCAGCATAACACAGGAATTTTCTGCCTCAACCCAGGTCTCTCAGATATTAGCCCTTCTCTGCTAAGCTGGATTGCTCCATGTTTACTTAATAAGCTTGCTGGAGCGTGATTCCTTTCATGATCTACAACCCAATACATACAGATGACAATGAGTGAATGTTGGTTTAGGATTCAGTCGGCATGCTAATTCCCTGTGGTTCCTGAGATATTTGGAATTTGCTCAGACAAGATCTGGGAAATGGTGAAATGCTCCCTGGGTGGGGTGAGAGCCTGGAGGCAGAGGTGACGGTTCTGTCCACCAGGCATCATCTGTTGTAGAGTGAGGGGGGGTCTGCAGCAAAAAGCAAAACATAGTCACAGAGGAGTTCTTAGTACACAATACAAATAGTGTCAGGGCTAATAATAAAGTGTCAGGAAGCATATGGAAATCAGTGAAGCTTGGCTTGAGAGCCTGCAACAGATTAAGAAGAAACAAATGCATTTTATATAGCAATCCAATTTCAGTCATCTTTGGTTCACAAAGTC